TAGAAGGCAGTTTCTGCGTAAAACATGACCAATCCAATTAGCCTTCCGTTTTCTTATTTCGTGTAGGATATTCCTCTGCCGCCCGCTGCTACTCTGCATTTAAATGTCCATTCTGGTTAGGGCGCTTAAACAATTTTAAGCATTGTGTTTAAAAATGCTGTATCTAACTTAGTTTTTATGATAAATTGATGGAATTAACTTTGTTTGTATCAGCAGAGCACATAGTGTCGCATACTATAACGGAAGATTTGAAAATTTTCATACAAAGAGTTATACTTTTTTTTTCAATTTCTTTTTCTTTTAATTTTGATGCATATAGCAAAAATGGTTTCCCAGTTCTTCACAGATATGTTCTGCATTATAAATTCATTCCTGTTTCGAATCTTTTGACTAAAGGACAGAAGATGGGCCGTGCCATAGCTCAAGTGGTTAGTCGCTGGTTTCCCGCCGCGGCGGCCCGGGTTCGATCACGGGTCTGGTCAAGTGGGATTTGTGGTGGACAAAGTGGGGCTGGTGCAGGTTTTCTCAGAGTACTTCGGTTTCCTCTGCCAATCTTCATTCCACCAATTGCTCCACAGTCACCCTCACCTATCATCTGGGGCTGGTATAATAGGCCAGAAGTGGCCACAGTACAAGGGACTTAGTCCCACTCCAATAGCAAAAAAGGACAAAAGAATGAAAGATTGGTTATTCAAGAGAAAGCTAGAGGGGTCCCTTCTTCAGTCCTAAGACCTTCTGCTATAGCTGCAAGAGACTGTTACCCTCTCTGGAGTTGTGAACAGACAGCTGCATCGTGGCTGAGATACAGAGTGCGATCTGTTTTCTGTGCGTTCATAGTGAAATCTAATACTGTACTTCAGCTTATATATACATCAAGCAGATAACAAAAAAGGTATGTACATCGAATTTTACTATATATTTTTAACATATTAATCTGCAGAACATGCAATAAACGTATTGGATCATGGATGAGATTGGGCATAACTCATACGTATACTCTTTTGCTGTTCACTTAGGTATCGTTTTAATTCCTCTATTATGGTTTTACTCAAGTCTGTCTGGTAAGTACTACATACAAAAATAAATATTTAGCACTGCATGCGCTTCCACTAGCGGAGTTTAAATGCCCGACTGGCCAAAACGGGGTACTTTGGCCACGATGACCATACTCATCATTGGCCCAATTGGGGTACTTCGGATGTTAAAGGTTAAGAGAAAGTGACTGGCCAACCGTCAGTCGTAAAATGACTTTGAAACGAAGCAAGTAGTAAAGAGGAATTTTGTAAAGGTAGAAACGAAGCGGTAGGATATGTGGAAGATGGAGGTGAATAGTTGTCATAACCGTGGCGGTCCTTTGGTAAGGCACTAGCGTATGGTTGGGAAGATACGTGGTTCGAAGACATGACTATTTTTACGAGGGGGAAAAAAAAAAGAAATTTGTGCATGTGGGAAACGAGGGTACGTGGCTAAGATATTGGCGTAGTATTGGGAAGGTACCGGGTTCGAGCCCACGGTGTCTTTTGTCAACAGAAATTGAAAAGTGAAAAAATAAATAAGATTTTTCTGCAGCTATAAACCAAGTCGTAGAATATGAGAACGATGGCAGAAAGCTGTAGCATAGGTGTTCTGGTGGTCTAGAGGTAAGGCACCGGCGTTGTAAAGAGAATGTCCTTGGTTCAAGACCACAAGAATTTTTGTAATGAGATGTTTATGGAATTATATAGAGAGATGCAACATAAGAGGAAGATTAAAGGTCGTTATTTTTCGTGGCTTTGGTGGCCCATTGGTAAAACACCGGCGTAGTGAAGATAAGTTCGAAGGTTCGAGACCAAGGATAGTTTTGTGAAGTAGAAAGTGAGTTAATGGGTGACACATCAGTTTAGTGTTCAGAAGGTGCCTGGTTCGAAATCCGTAGGATTTTTGTGAAAAAAAAACGAGAGAAGAAATTAGTGAAGAGGAAAGATTTTCGCGACCGTTCATTAAAACACTCGCCTAAGCTTTTGTTAAAATCCACCATTTATTAAAATCGGCCCACTTCCGCCCCAACCACCCACCTTTAGGGGTGACTTGGAGTTATTCACTTGAGAGCAAGCTAATTCAGCGAGTTAACAAGAAAATATAAAATAACTGTAGGCCCATCTGTGGACTAAAACCTCATGAAAGGCCACGAAGTGAAGTAAAAAATGTAGCATCTTAGTTTCTTATTATGTGCCTTATTGGGCTGTGCAAACCGTTCCTCTGAAGAATTCATTTTAAGGGGATAGGGCAGCAGGTACTGGGGATGAAGATTATGGAAGCGTGGGACCCCACCTTAACCCGCCCTTGCGGTCACGCAGAAAGTTAATCACTTGAGACCAAGTTAAGTCAGCGAGTGTTAACAAGAAAATATGAAATAAAAACTAGCGCCATCTGTTGAACATTACTCCACAGATGGCGCTAGTTTTATTTCATATTTTCTTGTTAACTCTAGCTGAAT